TCTCCCTTCTCCCTTCTCCCTTCTCCCTTCTCCCTTCTCCCTTCTCCTTCTTCCCTGGCTGTTCTGGAACTCACTATATAGACCAGGCTGTCCTGGAACTGACAGAGATTCACCTGCTTCTGCCTCCTGGTGCTGAGATTAAAGGCATGCATCACCACTACCAAGCTTCCAGTTCTTTCTTCTGGGCTTTCCTTTGACTATTTGTACTGCTGGGAACAAGTTAGCCATGGCTTGCCACAGGTCAGGCCAGTGTTCTCCCAGAGTGGTTCCTCCATCCTGTCCTTCCTGTGTGAGAAAGGTATGGTCGCTTGCATGACCTCCAGAGTCTGCATTCATTTTCAGAACATTTCCTAGCCAGAGGGCCTTGGCTGATGTGTGTCCTGGGAGGGAAAGATCATTCTGTACTATTCTGGAGACCAGTGTCACCACAGGGTTCTCATGGTATGGTGGAGCAGGAGGATATGAACCAGGATGAGGTTCAGAGGAAGAGGAAGACCATAGCCAAGGAAGGTGGGAACACTGGTCAGGACCCCTGTTCCCAGCACCTTCAGAGCATAAGCATGTGACTTCTAAGCTGAGGTTCTGAAAACTTATTATAGCAGTGATAGAAAACTAACACAGAAGGAAAAGGTGTTTGCTGTTGGTTTATACAAATGAGAGTTTAGAGGTAAGTTTGAAAGGGACACATTTAAGTTCTGCACAGTAATGAGACCTAAGAAATGGAGCGCAGCGCCAAGTCACGCCAGATGTAGTAAGTGTGGCTAACGTGTCTGCCACATTCAAGGGCTGGCTCAGGCCTTGTGAACCTGAAATAATGGGTTGGTTTGAGGGATGGATTTGGGGGTTGCGGGGGAGGCAGTGAAGATGGAACCCAGGTTCTCACAGATAGTACCTCTCATGCTCTACCACTAAACCCCATCAAAGATTCTGGAGTCCTCTCCTGGCTCAACTTCTCAGCCATTTTCCTGTAAGGTAGAAATGGTGGCACATTATTACCTCAGGAAGGTTATCCCAGAGGCCCATTATAACTGGAACAAAAACAGCCACCAAGAAACAGCCACCAGATGTTTCCCTTGCTTAGTCTCAGAGTCCTAAAATCCCAGGGGAAGATGCTCCCTGCCACCCTGGAAGACAGCAGTAGCTGTACCCTTCTTTCCGACAGGCTATAGAAGCCTGAGTGCCCAGATGTGAGGACCCTGCGCCTAGCACTGTGAGAGCATCTTGGTCTACTCTAAAGGCAGCCGAAAGGGGGAGTCAAATAGACTTTAAAAAGCCAGAAAGCAATGTGAGGCAGTGGAATCGGAGCAGGGGGAGGCAATAGATTTAACCCCTCTATCCCTTAGTCTTGAATTTGTTTGGATAAAGGGTCTCTTCTCATAATCCCAACTGTTCTGATGCTTGCTATGTAGCACAAGCTGGCCTCAAACTCACAAAAGATCTGCCTGTCTCTGCCTCACAAGTGTTGGGAATAAAGATGTGCGTCACACCATGTCAGACTCAGTTTTGGATTTTTAAATGATGTTTCTTTCTTGGGTCTAGAAGTGGCACAGGTTCTCATGCATGGTTCACTGGGAGACAGCCGAAATCACTTGTCACTTATCATTTGGTTGGTAGGAAGAGGGGGACACCGACAGTGGCTTCAGCAAGAAGGGCTGGAACACTTTTAGGGGAATTTATGTTTTAATTTCAAATGTAGTTGATCATTTTGTTGTGTAATGCTCAAAGTGTTCAAGCACTTCCAACTCCCAAAGCTCCTGAGGTACACAGTCTCTTGCATCATCTGAGCTTGACCCTGGATACAGTGGGAATCGTGTGTGGTGGGAAAAAACACTTAGGAAAGCAACTCTTGAGCCAGGATTGGCTCCCTGCCTGTCCCTCCAACCCCGCAACCAGGACTGGAGATTGTACTTGAACCCAGAACCTTTCACATGCTAGGCAAATTCGCTACCACTGAGCCATATCCCTAGACCTAGCATTTGCGTCCTGGGACTTCTTTGTTCTCCCGGGGTGTTGTAGAGCTATCTACAAACCTGGGAGCATATGTCTCTCCCAACCTGAAGGGTCTGCTGGTGTCCCTGGGATGGAGTGATTCCTCAAGTGACTAATGTTTCTACACAGACATCTGAACTCCTTGGCAGTTACTGGAAAATAGGAGACACCCCGAGACAGCCCTGTTCCACCCCTTCCCTAAGTCTCAGAGTTCCAGCATTTTCTTCATCAGGGGTATTTGTGAAGTGAAACAGAAATAGTACTTCCGGTTCCTCTACTGCTTTGTAACAGTGGCAAAAGGAAACTGACCAAGTCCTTTTATCCTCAAGGTCTGGCCTCAGGTCTCTATGCAAACAAGCAAGGAGGCTCTCTAAGGCAGGAGCACCTCTATACATCAAACACCGAGTCCTCAAAACTAAAGCAACATATGCCGAGTCTCTAAATTAGAAGTTGAGGGAAGAGATATGGGTGCATGCAGTGTAGTGTACCATGTCAGCCTGCTGTATGGTCGACTGGAATTACTACATCTGACAGTGAGGAGACTCCAACTTTGCCATCACCCCAGAATTGTGTGGTTTTCGAGTGTCTTCGCCAGCATGAATTCTAAGCCTGTTCTTTGCTTCTTTGTTCCAGGGCAGTAAGTATGTCCCAGTCTGCAGGCAACCAAAGAAATCAGGAATAGCCAGAGTCACCTTCGACCTCTACAGGCTGAATCCCAAGGACTTCCTCGGCTGTCTCAATGTCAAAGCCACCATGTACGAGATGTACTCAGTGTCCTACGATATCCGATGCACGAGCTTCAAGACCATGTTAAGGTAACATACTCCAGGGGCTATCCTGGGGGTCTGGAAACACCCTGGTGTGGCACAGGTAGCTCCTCCTAGCTTGTCTTCTGCCTGAGAGCCCAGCAACAGGGCCTGGATCTTCTGTTGTTGTCAGGTGTGCTCTGATCCATGTGGCTTAACTTCCGTTTAATTTTCAGATCACAGACTTACAGCAAAAAGTACAAAGCTATATCCCCAACTGGACTTTGTGCTATTGATGTAAGTCTGTGAAATGGCTCAGTGGTAGCTCATTTGCTTGGCATTTAGAGGCCCTAGGTCCAATACCCAGCAACGCACACACTCACGCTGGCACCAGGTCTACACCGCGCTCACACCACGCTCACAACCATGCTCGCACACCATGGAATCTGGCCCAGATATTCTGCTGACATCAAAGCTGAAGTGAAAACTTCTGAGACCAGGAAAAGGTTAAGAAGTTGAGGCTGGAGCGAGTGGGGCTGGAGTGAGAGGGAGAAGGGAAAGCGGGAATAAAAAACTTGAGGAAACACTCTTTGTTTGACCCAGTCTGAAATAAGACTCGGGTCTTCAGAGGCTAGGACAGGACAGGACAGTGTCCTCTTGTTGTGAGAAGCAAGTTGGAACACTCCAGCTACCTACCCTCCACACACCCGATCAGAGGATCACAATTCCAGCTCTTTTGGCAATTTTCCTGGTCTTGTCACCTTGACCAAGGGATTGCAGGAGCAAGTCCCTCACACCCACCTGGCTGCTAGATTCCTTGTATAGCAAGCGCATGCTCTCCCAGGAGTGGCAGGGGTTCTGTGGAGATCCTGAGTTCCTACTTAGGCAGGCTCCTGTCAAAGTGGCTTGAGGGCTGCGTCCCCAGTAGGTGGCCCTGGAGTGTAGTGGCAGCCTACCAGGGAGCATTCACACACTGTGTGCCCTGAAAGTGATATTCCACAGATGCCACAGTTCAAACATGATTGCTGCCTCCTCGGAGCTTAGTAAGGTGGGATGGGGGTGAGGCATTCTCACTCTTCCAACTCTGGCCAGGCCAGAATCCCAAGCCTGATGCATCTCCATCTTACTCTGTTGCAGGAGTCTGCTGCGGTTTGTGTCCTATGCTGCCCAGGTGACAGGACAGTTCCTGGTCTATGCGGGCGCGTACATGCTCCGAGTATTGGGCGATACAGAAGAGCAGCCGTCCCCCAAGCCTAGTACCAAAGGCTGGTTCATGTAATCAGGTCACAGCTACAGAGGCCCAGGGACCCAGCTTTCATGCAAATTCACTACCATCTGTCATAGACTGTGGGATGTCAGAGGAAGGAATGGGGGCTTGGTAGTGGTACCAGGTGCTGGGCTGAGCAGCAGGATTCCTGCAAGGGAAAGGAGGCAGAGGGGCCTTCTAAGAGCTTTAGGAAGGGACTAACAGCAGAGTGTCTGGGAACAGCATGGGTATGAATCCGTCCCTTTGGATCCTTACATATTGTAATAAACCAATCACAAGACTCACCTTTAATACATTCTGTCCTTCTTCGCAACTGGTTTGTCTCTCTGGAGGACCACACTTTCACACAGAACAAAAACCAGAGCCAAAGACAGAAAGATAGATACCATTGCTGTTTAATCATTCTTTTTAATTTTATCTTGCTACATGTGTCTTATGCACGCACTGCCCAAGAAGGCCAGAAGAGGGCGCCACCGGATCTCCTCAGAGGAGTTACAGACAGTTGTGAGACTTCTTGTGGGGGCTTGGGATGGAACCTGGGTCCTCTGGAAAAGCAGGGCTCTTAACCACTGAGTTTTTGCTGCAGCCCCATTGCTGTTTAATCTTTATCAGTACTCAAAGCAAAAGTAACGATCTATCACACAAGCCTGGATTTTATTTTATTTAGTTTTTCCTGCCCCTCCCCCGTGTGTATACACGTTCATATAGTGTGAGTGCAGGCATATGTGCACCATGGCATGTGTGTGGATGACAGAAGACAACCTGGGGGTCAGTCCTTGCCCTGTTGGGAAAGCCACACAGGTTAGCACAAGCTTTTAGGGATGCTCGGGTCTCTACCTCCAGGGCTGTAGGCGTTCTGGGATTGTAAATCCAGGGTACATGTAAACCAACAGTTCTCAAACTTCCTAATGCTTCAACCCTTTAATACAGCTCCTCATGCTGTGGTGACCCCCAACTATAAAATTATTCCGTTGTTACTTCATAGCTGTAATTTTGTGACTGTTGTGAATCATAGTGTAAATATTTGATATGCAGGATATCTGATATGCGACCCCTGTGGGAGTCACCACCTACAAGTTGAAAACCACTGACTATATAAGCCTTCCATGGGCTCTAGGGATCCAGACTCAGGTCTGCAATCCTGTACAACAAGCACTTCCCCTGCTGCGCCATCTTCTGCCCCTGCCCCCCGCCCGTCCCCCCACCAACCCTCCCCCCAACCCCACCCCCGCTCTTTAAAGGCTTTTAATGAGTCCCAAAGTCCCTAAAGCTCAAGGACCTGCATAAGGGGCCTTCTGGGGTCGGGGGCTAGTTTCAGCCTTGCTTTTAGAAAGGAACAAAACTGTTAGAACTCAGGTTGGAAGCCAAGTGCTGCCATGGTGCCAACAGAACCTTTGTGGCTGGGAGCCAAGCTCTGCCTAGCATGGGCCAAGGCAAAAGTCCTGCTGGCTGTGGGTGCTAGCTGGTGCTCATCTGGGTGTAGGCCCCTGAAGCACCTTGTGAGGAGCCTGTTTATCACCCGGTTCTTTCTTTGAAGGTAGCTTTATCACTGGGTCGCAGTGCTTCAAGGAAAGCCAGTGAGTGTCACCCTCGGCCCCTGTGTGGGAGGCTCTGGCTGTGTCTCCCCTACCCTGTCATCAGAGCAGGGAGTAGACTCCCCAGAGGAAAAGGGGTGCCATTCCCTGACTGAAGAGTAAGCGTCCCCAGGAGACATATCTGTTCCTGTTAGATCCATCCTGTTGAGTCAGCCGCTTCCCTAGCTGTGACTTTGCTGATGAGAACTGTGGCCCGGAGGCTTACTCTCATTCCTACTTGCCTATTCCTGCACTATGAATAGACACTAAGACTAGGGATCCCCCAATCCACCGTCTCACACATGTGTATACACACACGCACACGGGCGCGCGCGCGCGCGCACACACACACACACACACACACACACAGAGTCCTATAAAAGGAGCAGGGTGCCGGAGCTCTGCCATGACAGCCCAGGAAAGGAGGGGTGTGGTCTGAATGGGCGGCCTCAGAACCCAGTTCCCCGCCCCCCTTGGGTTTGCATCACTTCCCCAGGATCCCACCCTCCCGGGAAGCCACTGCCCGGCTTCCAAAAAAGGAGTTTTCACTCCAGATTGATCCTGTTGAGTCAGCCACTTCTCTGGCTCCCGCTATTCAGTTGCCAGCGGGGGTGGGGGGTGGGGGGTAGGGGGTGGGGGGTGGGAGAAAGCTGTCCTTTTCCTCGCAGGATGCAGACCAGGGAGGTGGGGGAGGGGGAGGATGCCACCAAGGGAGACCTAGGGAGGGACGGGGGCTCTGGTCACTCACCCCCTCCCTGTGAGAAGGGACTTGCAGTTAGGAGGACCACCTGGGGCTGGGAACGTCCTGAACAGGCTGCCTGCCTTTGACTGCAGCTCACTGCAGAGTTAGTCATTGACCCTGTAAGGGGCAGCTTCTCCCAGAATTCTCAGCAGAGGCAGGAAGACCTGCTGAGAGGAAGCCACAAAGGTTGGTATTGTGTCATCAAAGACTGCGGAGGGTTCTTTAGAGAGCCTTTTATATGAAGCTGAGAGAGAGAGAGAGAGAGAGAGAGAGAGAGAGAGAGAGAGAGAGAGAGAGAGAGAGAGAGAAGTTAACAATCACCCTACATATGGGAGGGCTTTAGCAAGACACAGCTCTGTCCCAGAGTTGATTTAGGTGGTTTGCTTCCCAAACAGAACACTTTCTTATTTTAATCTTGGTTTTTCTACAACCGAGTGAGCATCTTGGAGAGAAGCAGGAGCAGGCAAGACTGGCTCAGCAGAAGACTGTGCAGCGTGTTGGGTGCTAGCCCACTCCTGTGTCTTTCTCAAGAGCTGTGGATCCTGGATGGACAGAGCTAAGCACAAGAATTCTAATTTATGTCTAGAATAACAACTCGCGGGGGGGGGGGGGGAGAAAGGTTCTCATGAGCTCAGAGTTCATGACCCTGACACTATGTTGATCTTGATATTCCTTTTTTCCCCCATATTTTTACATTTTATTTTATGTATATGAGCGTTTCATCTATGTGTATGCATGTGCACCATGTGTGTACTTGGTGCCCATAGTGGTCCAGAAGAGGGTATAAAATCACCTGGAACTGGATAGTTTTGAGCTACCATGTGGATGCCAGGAACTGAACTCAGGTCCTCTACAAGACAAGTCTCTTCAGTGAGCACTGAGTCCCTCCAGCCCCACCTAGATGTTGCTTAGTGGACCTCTTTCTTCAGACAAACTAAAACAGATATCTATGCCCTCTGTGGCTATCCCTGTATACCCAAAGCCATGCTAATGCTCTACCTTGTGGCTAGTAGGCTTAATCCAGAGCTCGCTGCCACAGCTAGGTCCCTGTGTCATCCAAACTCTGAGAACATAGAATGAAGTATTCTGTAAATTATTGCCTCATGGCCAAAGCCAGGCTCCAGTGTAAATCTCCCAGCAGGGGCAAGATGTGCTGGCTAAGCATCTACCTGTAAAATCAGGATTCCATTTAGGTAGACCAGAAATTCCATTCCTGGAAAACTCTGTGCAAAACTTGTCTTTATCACCATCATCACTATCATCACCATCATCACCATCATCACCATCATCATCATCATCACCATCATCATCATCATCACCATCATCACCATCATCACCATCATCACCATCATCATCATCGAGACAGTTTCACTCCATAGCCTTACCTGGTTTGGAACTCACTATGTAGACCGGGCTGGCCTCAAACTCACAAAGAACCACCCACCTCTGCCTCCAGAGTGCTGGAACTGAAGGTGTGCTGCACCAGCACAGCATTTTATGGAAAATTTAAATGTAAACACAATGCCTTTGGTCGGCAGGCATCTCTCCACAGGTCACAATTCTGCCACTCTTACCCACTCTTTCGAAAACAATTGCTTCACTCCAGACACACAGGCAGCCCCTCAATGACACTAGAGCCTACAACTGGGGCTCCACGACCTCCGAGTTCATCCAACTCACACGACCACACACCTCCTGCTCTCTTTTCTTTTCTGTTTTGGGGCAGGGTGGTTTTTGTTTGTATGTTTTGTTTCAAGACAGGGTCTGTGTAACAGCCCTGGCTGTCCTGGAACTCACTTTGTAGACAGGGCTATTGCTTAATAGCCTCCTTCTAGGCTCCGCCCAACAGTTACCCAGCAATAGCCAGGTAGGCCTGGCTTGCTATAAAAAGGGCTATTTGGCCCCTCCTCGCTCTCTGCCCCCCTCTCTCTCTGTCTATCTGTCTCTCTCTGTCTTTCTGTCTCTCTCTGTCTCTCTCTGTCTCTCTCTGCCTCTCTCTCTCTCTCTCTCTCTCTCTCTCATCTCTACTCCCTACTCAGCTCTTCTTCCCATGTCCTAAATAAACCCTAGTCTACACTATAGCCTCGAACTCAGATATTTTGCCTGCCTCTGCCTCTCAAATACTGGGATTAAAGCAGTGTGCGGCCATGCTGGGGCCACATAAGATTTTGATGGTCAATTTCCCCCACTCACCCCCATGTTGTGGGGTCTGCTTAAATGCAACATAACTCAAAAACCAGGTCAATGCAGATGACAAAATTTTATTGTAATCAAGCCACTACTGATTGGTCAGGGCTACAGAACAGACTGGGGAGCTGAACCATGACCCTGAAGAAATGGGCTGCACAGCCTACCTTAAATCGAGGGGAAACTGGGTGGGCTACAGCATTGTCCCACCGTGTTTTGAGGTAAGGAGTTGAGCGAGGGAATTCCCACCAATCAGGATAGGAGTTGGTTCTTGGACCTGGGAATGTGAACTTAGTTTGACCCTGCCAGCAAAACGGAGAAGTTGTCCCTGAGATGTCTGGACTCAAACAATCTCCATACAACAGAAGGTGTTCAGCTACTGGGAAGTCCCTAGCTCCCCTCAGGCCTAGGACCTTGAATTTAGTTTCTCCCTATGATTAAATGGAGTCTGAAAACAAAATGGTTCTGCTTGTTCCCAACACCTAACAACCGTCATTGCTGTTTCTCCTGGTCTCTGAGTCACCTGCGTCCCGGCAGGCCGGGGTGGGGATGGGTGTGATACAGGAAAACTGACCTTTCTAATTAAATCAAGAAGGGGATTTTGCAGGTTTAAGCCAGGGCTCACTGTGTCACTCTTGGAGGGGCTTGAACTGGACCACAAATTAACTTAGCTCTGCTTCGGTCATCACCTGTGGCTGCGTGAGGGGTAGGTGGCTGGCATTGTTGTTGCTGCTGTAACTATTCTGGCTCTCCCTTGAACTAGGAAGAGGAGGGTTCTGCT